CATATGTATATGTATATATATATATATATATATATATATGTATATATATGTATATATATATATATACAGGGGATGGACAAAATAATGTGAACACTCATTATTTATAGTTTTTAAATCAGTGTAGTTTAAGATGTGTTCAGCAGGGTTTAGCATACTCAAATAGTTTAGTGTTTTAAGAACAATACATTTTACGATTATGACTGCATACACAAAGCAAGGCAAGATTTCATCTGCAAAGAAGAATAGTGGCCGAAAACCAAAAGTGAATGAAAAGGACCGTGGAACACTTAAGAATAATTGTCCAAACAACACAAGTACTGTGAAAATAAATATTGCCTATTTACAGGTGTTTACATTATTTTGTCCAACCCTTGTAGTTTCAACACAGGTTTAGAGGAAATAGAGATTTAACTGTTCTCAGTTTAAATTTTTTTTTTTTAATTTCGCTACAGTGGGTTTCTGAGGGTTAAAGCAAAAGATGATGTAATCTGAATCATCCTTAATAAAAAACATAATTTCAGTATGAAAACCAACAATTTACTAAAAATACATAATTCATGAACAAAACATTAACTACATACCTGCATTTGCTAATTTGGTAAAAAGACTCACTGAAAAATAAGCAATGTAAAGGGTGAGCCAACACATATCAGTCAAACAAATACTCTGTACATAGACGATTAAAATGTAGCACTTACAGAATATACCCAGCTGGATCATAATTTCATGTGCTCAAGTTGATACAGCAACACTGGTTAGGACTATCAGGTCTTCATGCAACATCTAGCATGACAATGTCATTGTTTTAAAAAAAAAATACACCGGATGCACGGTTGCCATTTTTGCATACAGGTTTCTGTTTTCCTGCCAAACTCTGAGAAAGCGAGTTCTCTGCAAGACTGATTCTCTCTGCATGACTGACAATGACCATCAAATCCACTTGTATGTAAATTATTCATAACTACATTAAAGAATAATTTAGAAAAGACCACATCAGTGGACTCAAGCAGAAGACGAGAAAACATAGAATGCTGTTGGGTTAGGCTATATACTTAGACAGTGACAAATACTAGTTATGAAACTGTCCAGAATATGCATGGACCATTGAGCAAGCGAATGAAAGGAAACAGATGGCAGATCTTCTCACTTGCAGGCTTGACGACATATTTCAAACTGCACTTAACCTTTGCACTTCGTCTTTGAGCAAAGTCATTCTGACTCTGAGATTTTAAAATATGCCTATATTTATTCTGTATTCATACACAGGCCTGTTTTAACCACTTACTGTGTGCCCCTGTTTTTGAGCATTTTCTGAAAAACGACATACCCAAATAAAAATGTCTGTAGCTCTTGAACCCTATGGTCTGTATTTATAAATCTGGTATTGTTTGAAACTAGACACTTGAACCTTTGTTACTCTGGAGTCATAACAACTCAAAATTAGTATAGCAACAGAGTAAAACAAGGTAAAATGTACATGAAAGCCAAAACGATATTAAAAATACAAGAAAGGATTCAAACTTAATTTGAATCCCTGCATCTACAAATAAAACCAACAAAACTCTGCATCATGGTAAATTTGGTTATGTGCGTTTTATTAACATGTAGAGCTGCAGTTAAAGGCACAATGTGTAATTTTCGCCGGTGGAGGGCGCGTATTCAAAATAAACAAATAGATAAAGGCGTAGTTTGATGACTCCTTGACTGAGTGTGGAATCATGGGAGTTGTGGTCTTCATCCCCACAGCCGATGCAATCCGACGGGACTCAGGCAGAAATCATGTTCATGGATGAGCTAATGATTTATTAACCGAATGAAGCAGGGTGAGGCTGAAAGCTGTCGAAGCGAAATGAGGCCGCTGAACGAGCGCGACACACGGCTCGAAAGCAGCAGAGCTTTTATTATGCCACAGTCGACCGCTTTCGATCAGTCCAGTCGTGCGTATGTGGGAAAAAAAGCAGTGCCGTTTTATCATACTAGATACATGTGAAAGTTCTGTTAAAATGCTACTCTGTGCGGTCGTCACCAGTCTATTAAAATACACAACATATTAAAGCGTCTTTGGTGTTTCCATGTTTTCTACAAAACAAAACCGGAAATCGAGGGGTTATGACGTCATTAGCAGGCGACACAATGACACGGTCCGTGTCACTAGTTAAAATAGCTTATTTCTCTGGATTTAAACATTCTTCGAAACATTTTGGATAAAGTACATAAGTCAGCAAAATGTATAACACTGTTCTAGTGGTTTTTGGATATTTTAATAAAAAAATCTTACATATTGTGCCTTTAAAAGTTCAAATTCAATCAGGTAGTTTCTGTGATTCATACAAAGGACCAATCACAGAGAAGAATCTTTGCTAATTCTGAGTGTAATAAAAGTTATAGAAACAATTAAATGCATAAAAGATCAACTATATTATAATCAACCAACACTTTCAACAAAATGTGCAGAAATTGTACCTTTACAGGTATGAAAGCTTGTCACTCTTAATAGTACCCTTAATAGGGACGACTTTAAAATAAGGTACAAAGACGTAACACGTCACATTTTTTCTGAGAGTATCTCTAAAAATAAATGTTGATCAATCATGATAAAACAATGAAACGATTTTAACAGAAGCTGTACAAATCAGTAATGTCCATTAATCAGAGGTTCCTGGTGTGACCGTGTTCGTGTCTGGACTTTTGTTGAGATCTAAAGCAGACAAGGAATCATCAAGTGCGCCAGAAGGCGAGTCCTCTTTGGCTAACAAGTTATTCTTGCGGAGCTGACAGGCTTGCTGGTACGGTGGCCGAATTGGAGGTTGGGTGGGTGGTAAATACTGGTACTCTTTACTAGAATCAAGCTGTTTGAGAATAAAGCAAACCATGCATTAGGTCAGACTACTCATTCATAGACACGTATGTGTGATTTGAAAGAAGCTCATTAGCACCTGAAGCGGGTACGTTCTGTCTGAATCAAAGGCACTAAGATCTCCACAAGCAAGGAAAGGAACTATTATTCGGTTTGGCCCCTCTAGCTGGTTGAAGTCGACATCTGGATGGGACAAATTTGCATTCATATTGTGAGGAGGAAGACTGGGCATATACAGACTTTTACAATATAAAATGAGAATAAATGGCATATACAGATGAGCACAATCAAATATGAAAGAACTATTTTGATATTGGAGTAATGGAACAAGTTACCATAAGAGTGATCCAGTAAAGGGTTGGACATGTTGGGGACATAGCCTTCAGGTGGAGAGTAATTCTGACACACCACAAATGCCTCTGAAGGGCAAAAACACACACTGGTTCATGTTTGGAAAAGTACAATATTCCCAATACAGGTTTGTATTCCCTCTTCATATGAAATTCTCCTCTCACCTATGCTAGAGTTGCGGCTGCTGCGTGGTTTGGCACAGGTTACAGAGCTGAAGAAGATCTTGAGCTGGGAGTACAGCAGCGTCACATCTTTTCCCCTGAAGATCTACACAGAAGAAAGACATTGACGTTCAGGTGAGACTGAAGTAAACATTTCTCACATAAAACATTTTATAGATTTGACAAGGTAATAAAAAGTATGAATGACAATGGGACAGCTTACTTTCGCAACAAAGTTGCCACCTGGTTTGAGAACATGTGTGGTGATATTGAGAGCCTGTCAATATGAAAACATAAAACCTTAAGCAAAACCTTCAACAAGCATTCTAGCAGTTACACGGTAAATCAAAAACAAAATATAAAATTTCACAGTCCTCTATACCAATTTTGGTAGCCAAAAACTACTGAAACTAGTATTTAGTTATTAATGCTATTAAAACTACTAATAGCATTAATAATAATAAATAACACATTAAACATTACACACGTATGTTTCCGTGTGTGCGAGTGTGTGTTTGTACTGTATGTGTGCGTTTGGAAGCGAGAGAGAGTGGGAGAAACCGAGTATATGTGCTTTCCGTACATAATAAAACATAATTTTGCGGCAAAAACATGGAAATAGTTGATCTTATTGTTTACTATATTTATTTGCTTGGTCAATGTTGTGGGTTTTGGTTCTTTTGCTGTTTTAGGCTGAGGAAAGGACCTTTGAAATAACTGAAATCATTTGGCGAAGTGATATGGACATGTAATGCGGTCAAGACCTGCCTGGAACTATTTTAGCCATGCATTTCTCTGAAAATAATTACACACCTTAGAACGTTCGTCAGCCAATCAGATTCTAGCATTCAACAGCCCCATTGTACAATATTATTTAACAGATCTGAGCTTACCAGGAACTAATGATAAAAAAAAAACATATTTTCATTACTAACATTAACGAACTAAACAAACAAAAAAATAAATAATTACTGTAACAAATGTACTTCTCAATGTTATTTATTGTGAGTTAATGTATTTACTAACATTAACTAATGGGACCTTATTGTAAGGTGTTACCAAAATAAGAGTTATGGAAAATAGGAATTCATACCGCCAAAAGGAGCTGTGCCTGAATGTATTCATCTACATCATGAAGACCTGTAACTATATAGAGAAATGGACACAAAACCTTCAATTCAAGATTTTGCTAAACTAGACTAGAAAGCAACATCATGTTCAATAAAACACTATTATTATTTCTCACCATCAGGGGCGCCGTCACACACAACCAAGTCTGCTGACTGTCCTTCAAAATGTCGAATAATCTCCTGCGCTGTAGAAATCTATGAAAAGCAATGACAATAGTCACACAAATAAAAATATGTTTAAGGCAAGACACCACAGGCTTAAATATTGTTTTATCAAGCACTGGTCAGTTTTTAGATTTTGGTCTCTGTTCGGCTTTTAATATCGTCTTGTTTCAGACTAGTGGAAAGTAAACATCCAAAATAGACATTTAAGTGTTTATTTTATTGCACTTATTCTATTTGCGTTTGTGGATTTTAATTCCAATACATATCTTTAATGGATCTTTTTCAAAATTAGTTTTTTTTCCCCATGCACTGAGCTAGAAATCTCCACTTCAGTATTACTTACACCAGACTTTGCAGTTTTATTCCTATCTATATTCTGAAGGTTTTTACAGATGAGCTTGTTTATATATCCTTAATCTAACATCTTATTTCTAAAAGCATTGTGATTTTTTTTTTCTGGTTATTGACAGTACTTTCTGATTTTTGGAGTGATAACAAGAGATATCGAAAATCCCCTCAGTGAAAAACCTTTGACTCTAATATGTTAAAATGAAACACTTTTGAACCTGGCTTTATCCAACGTTCATATTTTTGTTCTGGAAATGTATGCAAACTAGTGCATATTTAATTGCATAACTTGCCTATTTAAAAAACTTTTTATACTTGTAATAATGTTTGCAATTCTTAATCTAATCATTTAACTGGGGAAATATGGTGATATCTATTAGTCAATTTTTTTTTTACCCTATTCATCTGGAGTGTCTTGCTTTCGAAATTTATAGATTCATGTTATAATAACATATAGATTAAAATGCTATAATGACTTGCTGAAAAAAAAGCAAAAATGTTTAAGTGTAAAAGTCTTGCAAGCTCCACCTTGGTGATGTCTCCTTGAATTTGTGTGACACCTGGCAAAGGGGCCATTGCTTGAAGGTCAACTGCCACAATCTTGACCTCTTCACTCTTGTCTTTTCCACTGAAATCGGACAAAAAAAAAAAGCTTAAGTGCCAATTACAATAAAAACACTTTACTGAACAGTATCTGTATGTGCGGTTTACACTTTATCATGCAGTACAGATCAAGTGCATTGTGCATTTGCATTTAACCAACCGGAGTTTGCGGCTCAGAACTTGACTCCAGCTGCCAGGTGCCGCACACAGATCCACAGCACGACTAACACCTGTATGTAGGTAGGACATGAACAACAGTCATTTGAACATAAAAGCCTGCTTTGATGTTGTCTATGTAGGCAGTTCACAAGCTTTCGAGACATATCCTATGATGACTCATCCACTATCCTATGCAGATTGAAGCTCTTACCTTTAAAAAGGTTGAACTCCTCATCCAGCTGCAGGAGTTTGAAGGCACTTCTCGCTCTCCAGCCCTCCTCCTTCGCCAGCCTGTAGTATATATCGCGTTTGTCTTTGGATGAGCGCCCCATTTTTCCTTCACTCACTTATTCTGTAGACAAACAAATAATGACACAATTGTACATCTAAACCAGCTAAATTAATAATGAATATCTTTCCTATAATAGTATTTACATATGTTACCTTGCAGTAGAACAGATACGTTGAAAGTGACTGCGAAAACATTCTTATCATTTACCACTCAATTACTCTTAATTAAAAAGAATCTCATTCTGCGCTTTCTCAACAGCACCTTTATAGTTAGTAAGAAATATTAACACTAGCGGCTAGCTATACAACCATAATATCCACTAACCAACATCATTAAAGTGTAATAAATTGTAATTTCATAAAATGTACCTACTTGACTGCAGCTGGATCAGCGCTACATGTTTTCGCCGCAACGTGACACTTCTTCTTACTCTGTTGCAGCCAGAGAAATAGGAGACAACACTGACACCCATTGGAGATGAGGTGCTATTACACATGATGCCTGTACGTGATCGTAGTGTTTGTGTGTGCATTTAACGTCCATAAACACGGACTTTAAGCAGAATTATTATAAGCATATAGCCCGTGAACTTTCTAGTGTAATCACAGTTCCTATAGAAATATTATACTACAGTTATAATTAACAGTACAAGACCCAGGATTAGAGAAATCACCTTTTTAATGGAATAAACATTAACATTATACATGCACTTTCGTTCAGCTGCAAATATTGAACATTACACAATTATGCATACTATAACAAGACAGGAAAGTCAGAATAAATTGAAAATAAGTAGCCTACAAAAATGAATAATTAAAAGTGGCAAGGGTGTAATAAAAAATCTGAATATGGGTACGATAAGTTTTGAAAAAATCAAATAAATACTTTCTGAAGCTCACAGACTTTTAAAGGATTTAGCTTTCTGATTTTAAGAGTCTCTACTATTGTCTCTGGCTTAATTTAGTCAGCATACATTCAAATCATAAAACCGAGTTTGAATGTGAAATGATTTGGTCAAAAATATAAGTAAATTCAATAAATAAAAGCATTTTTCATCTTCTTCATAATAATCAATGAAGCCAAAAATATATTTTGAGAGAGTGAGAGAGGTCTTGAACTGAATATTTTCATTGATACATTTCTGTATCTCACACCACAATAAAAAAAACTGAATGTACAATGTGAAAATAAATGCAATTTGGTTTCATGATAATTATTACAGAAAACACAGTTTAATAATGATTTCCTGGATAAGTTTAAAGTGTATACATTTAAAGGAGATTTCTAAGTGGAGCATTCTATAGGGATACCATCAAAAGTACAAAAGAAACGTCTCAGGTTACTTATGTAACCATGGTTCCCTGAGTAGGGAACGAGACACTGCGTCCTCTAGGGGTCGCTATGGGGAACGCCTCGTCGTGCCCCGTGTCTGAAGCATACATTGAAAAAACACCAACTTGTTGGCCGGCAACAGCCATGACGTCACTACCGGTGCGACTATAGTATAAATAAGCGCTGACGTCATGGCTGTCGCCGGCCAACAAGTTGGTGTTTTTTCAATGTATGCTTCAGACACGGGTCACGACGAGGCGTTCCCCATAGCGACCCCTAGAGGACGCAGTTCGAAGTTCCCATGAAAGGGAACTATATGTACATTTTGTATATATCATGCTGTGTATACTTATTGTACATTTATATATATTTACCCTCTAGACAGATACCTTATGCTGTATAAGTACAAAATAAAAAATAAAATGTGAAACATTTCATTCATTCATTTTTTATTTATAAGGACAATACATTAATTTTGGCATATAAAATTATATATTATATTAACATTATTATATAAGTGTTTCACTAATGTTAATAGTGTCCCTGGATAGGTTAATGTACAGCTAAACCTAAGGGGCCATTTATACAGAAGACAAAAAAAACTATTGAAAAACATCAAAGGTAGCTATATCCAAATCACACCTCTTATAGCTCATTTGCATTGGTTGGCACTTTTTAATTAATTTTCCATTAGTATCATAATTGCTTTATGCATTGTGTATAAAAAAGGAATTAAATAATTTATTACTTTGCAGTTTTATTTATGATCCAGTCAGACGAACATGTAGAAGTGCAGACAACAGTCTGCTCAAAAGCCCGGTTCTCGCGATATTCCTCGAGGTTTCCGGTGTTGTGAACGTGTGTCTTGCTGCTAAAGATGGCGGTCAGCATCCGAGGCCGTCCTATCCGAAGTGTACGGATGCGAGGTGAGATTAAGTTTACTCTGCTCGGCTGATTAACAGATCCGTCAGGATAATACGATGCAGTCTTCATCAGCTACACCTGCCCCAAGCGTGCCTTTCTCAATGTCTTATTTTATCTTACATATACAGGTCGGAATGACAGTGGGGAGGAAAATGTACCTCTCGATCTCACAAGAGGTAAGTCAGATGAACCAAGTGAACTCCCTACCTAGACAGCATTTCTGGGCATCGTAGGCTTGTTTGGAATGTCAGCCTCGCGGGTGCCAAACCCACCTATGATGCCACAAAATGCTTGCTGCACTTGGTTTTGTGACACAGCCTTAAACTAAGGCAACATGCAACATATAGATCCGTACACATAATATGCTCTTGTATGTAAGTATACAATACTTAAAAACAGAGAAAAACATATGATGTTAAAGGTGTCGAATGCTTTTTAGTATTATGTAATGGGAAATATGTATCTCTTCAGTCCAGCATTGCAGGACTGTAGGGTCCAAAGGGTGTAACGTTAGGGACCAAAACAACAGTCTGCTGCAGCAAGAAATCATGCAAAAGTAACTTTTTTTTTCTTTTTGTAGTACTATTTTATTTTTCTTTTTGTTTCAATAAATAATATGTCAGCTGACGTTCAATTTAATGCAGTTATACTTATAAATTAATTCTTTTTTTTTTTTTAATTGGATAAGACTTCATTTGGTAACATTAGTTAACATGACTAGCAATGAGAAAAAAAACTATTGAAGCATTTATTATTATTAGTTAATGTTAATTTTAACTTTTGCTAATACTTTATTTTTAAAAGCTATCTATTAATGTTGAATTTTTGTATTTTATAATGCAGTTATAGCCTATTTTTATTAAATGACAAAGATGAATAAACACTGTAACATGTATTGCTTATAACACAGATATTGCTAAATGTATAGTTAATGCATTAACTTGTTAGCTAACTAAAGAGGCTTTAGTTGAGTTCATTGTCAAGATTTACCATTTATTGTAGTAATGCTATTGAATTATTTTTGATGTATCTGCTGTTATAGAAAGCATGATTAGACTCATTGCTTTTCATTCAGCAGTGAGATTAATCATCCTGTTAAGTTTTTGGTCTGTCAAACATCCGTGTGATTGACACTATATAGATCACGATCACCGTACAGCTCAACAAACAACTGAAAATTAACTGAAAATGCCACAATTCATTGTGTACATACTGATTTTGATTTATTTTTGTTCTGTGCACAAGACCAGAATTTTCATTTAGTAATAAGGTTGCTGTTAAAGTTGCCTGTCTTGTGGGCTGAACACAAATTCCTTGACAAACAAGTGTGAATTCAGGGGGTTCTTAACACTTGTGATCATAAAAAGGGTTTTACTTGCATATTCTTTGCTGATCTGTTTGTAGCTCATTAGCTGTTGCAGGGTCATGATTGTGTGCTGTCATTGCTTATAGGTTAACCTTGAGGCTGTTTTTCCTGTATGACCTCTGTGTGGATGGCCTTTTCTGGATGAAGTTGTTAGTGTTAAACTGGCTAGATCTTGTAACTTGAGTCAGAAAAGGTTGCCCTTGGTTTCCTGAGCTCAGATAGTATTAATCCAGTACTTGTATTCCAGTCATGAATTCCTGCTAAGACGCACCATTAAAAAGTTTAGGGTCAATAAAAAAAAAAAAGAAAGAAAAAAGTAACACTGTGATACAAAATACAACAAAACACTAATATTGTGAAATGTTATTACAATTTAAAATAACCTTTTCTGTTTTAATATATTTTAAAAAGTATTTTATTCCTGAGATGGCACAGCTGAATTTTGAATTTTCAGCAGTCATTTCTACAGTTTTCAGTGTCACAATTTAAAAAAAGAAAAGAAAAAAAAACATCTTATTGACCCCATACCTTTGAATGGCAGACTACCTGTATTTAGACAAGACCTGAGCTTCACTGTTTTTGGTCCCATATGAAAGTCTGTGGAATATTTGTGGATTTTGTTTTGTTTTGGCACAGATGACTGAACATGTATCCTGTGTGACTGCTGGGGGAAATATGTCATAAAGAGTGCTGTGTTTGTAGTATCTTTGAGTGTCTGTATTTTATGCTAGCTGGTTTTGCACAATACTAAGCACTAATGTTCATTTTATTGTACTACTTTATGAGAGGAGCAAATACCACTTTCCTACAATTATTATATTTTATTTACTTAAGTAATTTGTTAAGTGAGATGATGTCAGGAAGTCCCACTGTGTCTAGCAAAAACTAATTTAACTGATCTGTGCTTGATTTCATCCAATAAAGCACTTCTCTGCTTTTTGTGGTTGTAGCACAACAGTAATGGAAATGGTTCAGTTACTTATGTCACGCTGTTACTGGGAGAACATTATATCTTTGTTTTCCCATCCCTGTTTCTCTGATGACTTCACACCTCTTCAATCATTTTTTCTTCCAGACCCCTCTGAGAACATGCGAGAGATCCTCCAGAATGTGGCCAAACAGCAAGGAGTCTCGAATATGCGCAAACTTGGCCACCTGAACAACTTCATCAAGGTTTGTCATCTCAAGAGTGGACCAGGAGTTGCAGTGGACCAGGGAATGCAGGAATCAGTGTTGTTAGCTGCCTAAATCCTGTCTTATCAAAACATTTTCTTGCTGATACTGCAGCCCTGAAGAGTTACATATATGACTAGTTTTAGGTTGTCTGAACGTTTAGTGCACTTTCGTTAAGGGATCTGTCATCTTTTACTGAACCTCATATCATTCCAAACCTGTAAGAGAGTTCTGTGGAACACAGAAGATATATGATGAATGTTGGTAACTAAACAGTTTTGTTTCCCATTGACTTGCATAGTATAAACAAAAAATACAGTGGAAGTCAATGAAAACTGAAACTGTTTAGTTACCAAAATTCTTTAAAATATCTTCTTTATTTTTCCACAGAAAAAAGAAACTCACATGTTTGGAAAGACATGAGGGTGAGTAAATGATGACAGAAGTTTAATTTTTAGGGGAGTCAAAATTCCCTGAATAATTAGGGCCAGTTTTGTACAAAAACAGCTGCTAAAAATGTTAAAGCTATTTGATATATTTAGTGCTGGGTGATATACCGGTTCAAACAGTATACCGGTTTGAATTACGCACACGGTATACATTTTTTAAAAACCGGCATATTTGTGGCTAAGCAACGTAGACAGAGTAGTGAATTGAGAAGAGCAGGGTTGCCAGGTTTTCACAACAAAACCCGCCCAATTGCTACTCAAAACTAGCTTTTCCGGGGGGTAAAATACATGTTTTTTGGCGGGGTTCCCCTGGTAAAAATAGCATTTTAGGGGCTACATATCACGTTATTGGGGTCACTTCAACCCGCGGACATGAAAAACAACCCGTGGCAACAGTGATAAAGCATAGCTCAATTCTGCTGGAAAACCGCAGACTTGGCAACAGTGGAGAGGAGATCCCTGTTAACTGCATAAACTTCTGAATAAGGGTTAGAAAACATTCTTTAAAGGTGGGGTAAGTGATTTCTGGTAGCCAATGTTGATATTTCAAATCACCAAAACAAACACGCCCCTACCCCAAAAGGGTCTCGGCCCCTATTTTGATAGCTCCGCCCCACAGATACGTACGCAACCCATGCAACGATTATGGCGGAATCTGCTGTATTATTTTCTGCTGTATTAAACGTATCTTTTTATTATCACTTTGGGAGCTGACGCTTGAAACAAACAGTGGAGGAGGTGTAGATGCTCCAGGCTTATAGGGTGTGGTAATGAATGTGTCTTTATCATCGCTGAAGGGAACGACAATACGATTGCAGATGAACAAACAAGCGAACATGACACATGACCATTTTCAAGCAAAAGCCAGCATATATTAGTTCTGTGAAACAAAGCAAAACCAATGTTACCTATCGAGAAGAAACAAAG